CACGTGATGAAGACTCTTTACTATGGACTTTGAGCGTGTCTCTCGTGAGAGAAGACTCTTTACTAACAATGGCCATGCCTCCTACGAGTCAGGGTGGGTTTCTGTTCCATTTCGTCACCCTTCTACTCTCCAAACCTTAGCACTTGAACCTGAACTCAAGAAGCAGATAATGGACGATGTAGTTAGGTGATGTATTGCGTGAAGAGAGAGCTCAAATGAAACTCTCAAAGGCTAAATATCAGCTTGAAGAAAAAAATGTCGCTGTTGATAAACCGAGGAGTCAACTTGAAGCTTTTTAATTAGAGTAGAAACGCCGGTCAAAAAATAAATGACAGTTGTCAATTCAAAATAAAGGACAGTTGTCAATTCCTTATGGACGGACGTCCATTTCATATGGACAACCGTCCTTACACAATGGACGGGCGTCCATTCCATATGGATGGCTGTCCATTCCAGATTTTTTTAAAATTTTTATATTTCAAAAAAAAGACGGGCGTCCCTTATTTACGGGCATCGGTATGAACGCCCGTTCAATATTTATGGACGGCCGTCCATAACCTATGAACGATCGTCCCTAATTTTTTTTAATATATTTTATTCCATTTATCGATGGATGGGCGTCCTTTAAATAGGGACGTCCGTCTATAGTAAATGGACCCCCGTCCATATCATATGGATGGCAGTCCATATAAGTGAACGGTCGTCCATATTTTATGGACGGCCGTTCACTAGAAAAAATTTAATAACGTCAGATGCGTTGAATTGTCTGAGTTAGGGGAAAATTTCGGTGTAAAAACCCCTGTGTCTGTAGCATTTTTGTGTGATATATTACCCAAAATAAAAAGACAGCCGAGACACACGACCCATGTTAAATCAACATTATTCACTTCAAATTTTATGGCACTTTAGACACACTGCAGCAAGTTCTCATATATATATATATATATATATATATATAAAGCATGCAACATGGAAGGTTCCTCATTTGACTAGATCTAGTGTTGTCTCACTCAAATATTGTACAGCGGAACATACAATGGCTATATGTATAATCTTAATCAACATGCAGCATGAAACATATTCCATTTAAATCGAATCTGAAGGCATTCCCACACAAACTCATTCAGCTGATGCATGCAGAGTAACCCTTTAGTCAGATTTTCACTTAACATAATAAATTTTATGCCGAAACCACACAATAGAAATTCAATAGTTGACATGCAATAGGAAAGGTTTGGATTTTGATAAAACCACTCACAAAGTCAGCTCAGCCGAAACTCAAATGGACTGTCAAACACTCTTCTCTTCCGTACCTACACCCAAAAACTCAAGATCAAACACTCATTCTTAAAGCAAAGAAGAAACACTTAAATAAATTGCTTCCTAACCCCATGCATGCACTACCCGAACCCAGATTTTGGAGTGATCTGCTTCAAAGTCCCTCCCTATTTTTGCTGTACTTCACTCTCACTCCTCCTCTCTCACTTTACCTCTCGGTCTCCACTCTCACTCTACGTCTCGGCAGCTCTTCTTCTTCCTTACTCTCCTTTCTTTTCCTTCTCTTCTCCTCTCGTTTTTCCTTCCCTTTTTTTTTTCTTTTTTCTTTTTCTTCTGCTCTGCTCTCGTTTTCTTCCCCTGCTCACGTCTTCTTCTTCTTCATTTGGGCGAATTGCCCCCTTTTTTTTAATACAAAACAATCTCTTTTTCTGAAATTTTAATCTGCCCCCAATTTCTCTTAATTTCTCTAACCCCGCCACATAAGCCTCTCCTTATAAAAGTGTCCTGATTTTTCCCCGTTGGTGCATGCAAACCCATCAGAATTTATTACTTTTGTTTTCACCACTTAACGCAAACTTTAAAAACTGACAGAAATACCCATTTCTTACAACAATACAAAAAATCAAATAGAAAGAGAATTAATTAACTAAATACAATTCATGATATAACTCAATTAGGAATGGGGTTTTACACAAAGGGATGGTAATAAAGCATACTAGAGAGTAGGCAAGCTATATGGAGCCCACATCAAGCAGAGGCAGTATGCAAGTTGAAGTTTGAGTGGGATCTTTCCACGTCCATTCAGGAAAGGACAGTAGCTTGAAAGGAAGATCTGAAAATCACCTTCAGACCATCTCTTATGTTGCACTAGTGACTGAACAAGTGTTGTGGGAGTAAGTCCTAAGAAAGCCTTCCTTTCAGGATTATGATAGATGGATCTCCATCCTCTACCTTGTATAGCTAATCCAGTCATTATATCTTCCCCTGCACAGTTGTACATCAAACCCATCTGCCAAATCATACAATAAATTTTAAGAATTCATCCAAGAGATGTGTCAAATCGATACGAAAAAACTTGGAAAAGATCTCGGAGATTTATAGTTTTAAACTTTTACTCTGTCTGCATCCATGCATGTACAATTAATCGTGCGTGTGTGAGTGAGAAAGCGGGAGAGAGATAAACCTCCTTTCCCCATAGAGTATTCTCCTCATAGGCCATAGCTACAACTTGCAAGTACTTTACATGATTCTTCTAGTACAAATGCCCTTTCTTCAACTTCTCTAACATTATTATTATTCACCGTTTTGATCCAGTTTGTGGTCTTACAGTCCTGGCTATATTTCTTCCCACAGAGAGTCTCTCTCCTGTGAAAGCACCCAGAACCAATGTAGAAAGGCCCTCCATTGGAGGATCTGCTGTGCACACAATACGTCTATTCCTGGCAAATATTTCTCGTACCTATTAATGAGAATAAGACGATTATTATTTTGTTGGTAAATAATTTCAACTAGAGATTGAGAAAGAGAGATTGCCTGAGAGAGAGTCTGTCTTTGAAAGGGTAACGATAGATGGGATTTCATCTATTAACAAGAGTGACAAACCAATACCAACTGAACCATAACTCAGCAAGAAACATTCCACTCCAAGCCCATCTTTCAACTACTGCTGGTCCTTTCAAGCTGCTGAGAAAGTAACTCACTCTGTAAACAAAGATCATGCGATAGCCACAAAGATTGAAGCTGCATATAATCGGAACAAAATACGTCCCTTGGCTGGCTTTGTTTCAAAGAGAGGAACATAATCTTTGCTCTCCATCTCTCTGAAATATCCTTCAACTTCACTTCACTTCTCTAGACAAAAGAGTTGAAAGGCGGTTGAGGACAAGATATTGTCGATACTGTAAGTAAATGTAGCGCGCATATGGAAAATATAAAGGAGAAAATTTGATTTTAAATAATAAGTATCATTATCACTCTCCATGATGTGGTAATGCTTTGTAATTAAGGTCAAACTCCGCTGTACTAGCTTGAGCACTAGGTTTAGTCTTGTTCATACAAGAAGACAATTAATATGAAAATTAAAGTGGAGTCAAAGCTTTTGCACACACAAGAATTTGTCACAACTTTTTCACCAGCTTCACACGTCTTTCTCCTGATGAAACATGGACCTTTTTTTTTTTTTTTAGTAAACAACTTTTTCCACCTGAGTAACGGATAATGAAATTTTTCATCCACAAACTTTCAAAATACTATTTTATTATCTAACTTTATATTTTATTTATTTCATATTCCAGCATCATTACAACCATACACCATTACTATTCTCTTCTTTAATCATCACTCACAAAAGCCTCTTCAACCCTACTTCTACCGACTCTGTCAATTACCGATAATCAAACGATTAAGGTTCACGTAGCTATCTCTCTCAAGTCAAATTCTCATCAATTCTAATCACCAAAATCTAACCTTTCACCATCAAAAGACTCATTGGTCTCCTCTCTTAAAAAACTCCAACAGTTTGAATCAAGTTTATTTTCTGTTTACTGTTAAAATATAAATTTAGATAATAAAATAGTATTTTAAAAAATTATGGGTAAAAAAGTTTCATTAAACCATTACGTGGGTGGGAAAAAGTCGTTAACTCCTTTTTTTTTAGTGGAAATAAATGTCACCCAATTGGAAGCAAAATTTTAGCTTCTCATGTCTCCTTCCTAGCCAGTCAAAATTTTCATGCTCATTTGGTGGCTTCACAAATTCACCAGCCGGATTTTGTACCGAAAATCTTGACAAGTTTGTGCCTTCCCTTCACTATAATCAGTGTTGCCTTCTTAGTACACGACACGACTGTTATAATTAAGCCAACATGGCCAGAAAATAGTTGTATGATGATAAGGAGAAGGCACGCACGTACTGGGGACTTTGGTTTACATGCATGCGGAATTGACTAACACATTCCGGGCGGCATTTAATACAGTTGTTCATTTCTGAGTTTCTTCTTGGTATATGAAAATCTACCACAAATAATTCTTGCAGGCTCAATGGGACAGTGATGTGATGGCCAGTGGCCACCAGGGAAAATCCCACTTATTTCATTCATCTTGAGAACAGTTATATACAACCAATAATAGCCGCCCTATCCCGATAAAGACCGACATTTATTCAAGGGAAGGCCTGTCACCTTATCTTTACATTATACAGTATAATTAATGAAAACGTATCTTATATTACTACTGTTTTATAAGATTTGCAAATATAAATTTAGTATATATATTATATAAATTTGATATACTGCATGCAGATTTTTCTTTCTCAAATATAGGAAGCTTAAGAAAGGCTATTCAGTAAGCTGTTATTGACCATCAAACTCCCGCAAACCATGCAGCATTTCTCTCCAAACATATGCAACATTTATCATAAAACCTTCTTTTTTTTTCTTTTTTTTTTTGGTGGTTTTACCTGTTTCTTGTCTTTGGAACCCACCAAACGTAGAAGAAAGCAACCTAGAGTGCTTTGTTTTTGGTTCTTCCAACATCATTTCCTGGTGTATGAACAAATTTTGATTCTGCTCTTCATGCATTTTTTTTATTTTTTCTTATCTCATTTGGCAGAAGTGAGTGTGGGGATTCACGATTTTCATGCATGACAATTTGGTTATCTATGATTAATATATTTTATGTGAATTGAAATTAAGGATTTTGATTTTTGCAGGTGGGAAGAAAAAAATGGTGAATGTACGTGCAAGCGAACGGCAAAAAGCTGCAGGTTCTCCCAAGGTAGAGGTGGGAGAGATTGACACCAGGGCACCATTTCAATCTGTCAAAGCTGCTGTTAGTTTATTTGCTGAAGTTGTAAGGAAGGGTAAGAAGCCCGTCAGGAAGACTGAACAACTTCCTTTCGAGGTACTCTTTCTCATCAACTATATACACACATTTACGAATTTTCATATTCTTTTAAAAATTCAGATTTTGACTTTCAAGTTAATAGGAGTTGGCAAAATTTTGCTAATGCATACTACTCTTGGTTTAATGCCAGAATGTCTTAAACAAGGAGACACGGCTTCTTTTGGCCCAAAGAGAGCTAGAAAGGACCAAGAAAAAGTTGGAGAGTGCTGAAACTACAAAAGCTAAAGCACTTTATGATCTGGAGAGGGCTAAGAGGACATTGCAGGATTTGACAACCAAGATCAATTCTGTAAGTGAATCCAAGGAGTCGGCGTTTAAAGCTGCAGAAGCTGTGAGGCAGAAGGCCAAGCAACTTGAACATGATAAGTCTCAAAAGCACTTGGAAAATGATCCGCGGAAACAGGCGTTGATTCAGGCTAGACAGCAGTACAGGACTGCTGCTACTCAACTTGATTCTGCAAAGCAGGAGCTTAACGAAATCCGTCAGGATTTTGATGCAGTTTTGGAGGCAAAAATGGCTGCATTCCAACAGGCAGCAGAGGCTCAACGTTCAAAGAAACTAAGTTCAGGTAGGGTTGATGAGCTGCAGAAGGAAATTGAAGCTATGAAGGAGGCAACTAAACAGATAAAGATTGCCTCTCAACAAATACGGGAAGACCAGGCGAAGATTGTGTCTGAGAAAGATGCACTAATCCAGTCTTATAAGGATGCGAAAAACCAATCGGAGAAGAACTTGATTTCCTTGAGAAAAGAATATGATCCTGAACTGACCAGGAGTCTTGAGATGAAAGTTGAGGAAACAACTGCAGAGATTGAAGATTTACAGAAGCAAATGAAAGAAGCTCATGCTGCTGAAATGGATTCAGTGAGAGTTGTAACTACTGAGCTTAATGAAGCTACAAGGACACTGCAACAAGTTGCAGAAGAAGAATGTTCTCTGAAAAGCTTGGTGAATTCGCTTAAGCTGGAATTGGAAGAGGTGAAGAGGGAGTATGCTGATGAATTGAAGAAAGCGGAAGCTGCCGAAAAAGAATCTGTTGCAGAAGAAAAAATAGATGCCGATAATAAGCTTAATTCGACAATCGAACAGCTATTATCAGAAACCGAAACTGCAAGAAGAGAAGCAGAGGAGATGAAAAAGAATGCTGAAGACCTGAAGCAAGAAGCTGAAAATACCCAGATGGTGGCAGAGGAAACGGAGAAAAAGCTACAGGTTGCTCTGTCAGAGCTTGAAGAAGCAAGAGCGGCAGAGCGGAAAGCCCGTGTTGAGTTAAATCCAAATCAAGATTCCGTTGCCAAGGTGACAATTACAAAGGAAGAGTATGAATCTTTGTTGAAGAAAGCTGAGGAATCTAAAAACTTGACTGAGAAGAAGTTGGCGTATGCTATGACTCAGCTGGAAGAGATTAATTATAGTAAAAGTGAAGCAGACCAAAAATTGGAGGCAAATTTAAAAGCTATTGAGGAAATCAATACTGCAACAGAGATAGCTTTGAAGTCTGCAGAGACAGCAGCCGCGGCGCAAAACATGGTTGAATCTGAACTCAAAAAGTGGCGCCAGAAAGAACAAATGGCATCAGCTTAAGTTGCTTCTATAATTCTAGGAAGTTTGAAGACAGACATTACGATCACCTCCCCTGCAGTTATTGGATCTTAAACAAGATATGAATCAATCTGTCATGAAACAGGAGAGAACATCTACTTGAAAACGCCTTTTTCGCAATCTTCTTGATTGAAGATGAATCTCAAAATTTGTATGTAAATGATACAAAAAAGTAAATGGTGTTGATGCATGCTATCAGAAAAGAAATTTCAGGACTGAATTTAGAGTTATAATTGATCCATATAACATCTTGATTTACGCAAATTTATAATAACAGCATCAGTAATCCAACAGGTGCAACACAATTTCATTCTCATCTCTGTGGCAAACTTTTACCGCAGGAATTATAGATTTTGTATTCCTAGAGAGTGTAGTCTTAGCATTAACAGATGGAAGCCCAGAAAGAGTTCCATATGCAATTAATATGAACTTAAAATAGTGGAACTAGATATTACAATTTATCCTACAATACAATCCTACAGCACATCTGGCTGGGGACAGCTTCAAGCTGATAGCATAGCCAATGTCGGATTAGATACACCGTATTAGCAACTCACAAAGAGATAATATGAGCAGCTACTATCACGTACATTATATTTTATGACTGCGATTAATGAACAAAACCGTATTTCCCCATCTAACAGCAGTGGCATTGTGTTTGGACAACAACATTTGAGATTTGAGACGGCGTGGAGCTCTGTAGTTTCAGCTGTCCTTGATTCTGAGGGCGTCTACAGACTCAGATAGCCCATTCCTATTCTCTATCTTGTGCAACTCGGATTCTATGGTTTTGACAATCTCAGTTCCTTCAGCGTCTGCTGACTCAGGCACCTTCACATGAAAAGAACCCTGCTTGACTGGTTCAGCAGGTTCACCGATCAAGGATTGCTGCTTGATGTAGTTGTAGAGCTGTTGATGAAAGGGATGGTCCAAGGAAAAACAACTGATATCCCCTGACTGGCGAGATGATCCAGAGCCTTCTCTTCTACAGAAATGTGGGAGTGATTCAAAATCCATTATCTACAAGAAACGTGCAAACTAATTAAGTATTCCGGATTTAACCTGTAGCTTCACATTTGCATTCAAGAAAAGGGGAAACCATCCAAAGTCCAAAGACAGAATAAAATTCTTCATTTTCAGCCCTATATTCATGTTACACCCTTTTTTACCAAATATTATGAATTAATGGTTGCCTCGTATCATGATTTTACATAACAGAAATAGAACCAGCAAGGGGTGTTGGCTGTCTGATTATTTAATCAGTCACCTTGCATTAACTTTGGGTGAATATAATTTGTTATACCATAAACTGGTATTTGCAACCATGTCTGTGATAAATTCCCACACATTTATTTCACAGAAAACATGAAAAAGAAAGAGCAAAATAAAAGGAGAATGATTAGCTAGTCAGAGGGAAAAGGAGGAACATGGCGACAGAGTTCCTAAAGATTTCCTTGAGCTCTTAGTTCAAATATTTTTTGTAATACAGACGGATGGAATAAGTTTTATTGACAAATCTGATCAATGAAATTTGAAAGAAGAACTAGTTCTAAATGATGTCTAAATTAACTATATTATGACAAGACAAGAAGAAAGCAGCATTGGCAATGTTTGGTACACAATAATTTAAGAACTACAAGAAAATCACCTAACCTTCAATAATTCATCTCGACCAGAACCTGACAACACCTGCACTTTTCTCCTTGTCCTCTCCTGCAAAAGGGGCTTAACAACCTGTGGAAAAAGTTTAAAGGTTATCTACAGCCATTCCTGGCTCTAGTAAAAAGGAGCAAAACTTGCACCAGAACAATGTCAAGGAGGAAGTTGAGCACCAGTACCACCAATAGAACAAGGAACAACATGCTAACACTGACCTTCCAACATGCAGAAAATATGTATGGGACATTCACAATGTAATACGCATTTGTCTTCTCAGGGTAGTTCAAGTCATCGATTGTAGATATGATGGTCAATAACTGCATTAGCACAAGAAATCTGAGGCAGTGAACATTACATAGATTAATGAGGTCAAAGTTTATAACCACTCATTTCAGATCTGCAAACTGGAAGCTTCACTAAAAAGTCTCATCAACAGATAGCTATAAAGACAGCTTAGCATTTAATTTTCAGCCACCCAGCTATTACTTGGAAGTCAGATCATTTGGAAGAGAAACTTTGATGATATGCTCTCAAAGTCATTATAGCAAGCCAATTTTACACTTCAGCTAGTGCGAATCCAGATAGTTAAGTACCCAAGTGGACTGAAATAAAGTGGCATACAAAGTTTATCGAAAGTTGACATTACTAGTAAAGCAACAAAATAATGATGGGAAAACAAGAAGATGATAGTTTGCCACATCAAAGGAAGGGAAGAATTTTGAGGGGAAGTGTGCGGAAGATTTGGAAAAGACATAATTTTAGCATGGCAATACCTTTATATGGCTTAATGCTGAAAGCTTCAGGCCTGTCATATCCAAAACCTTCACACACGTGGTTATTGGTTTCTTACATTTCTTTGATGCAGCAGGCTACAAAAAAGTACACAGGTTAAAACAAAACCCAAAAAGGCTTGAAATACTTCAAACTTTTAACACCCACCAAAACTACACGATCTCTATATTCATTTATTTGAATATGTGACTGCACATAGTAGTTGACCTGTCATAAAAGAATAAAATGTAAATAAATATCACAAATAATTCTTCTCTGTGAGAATGATAAACACTCAGTCAAAAACAATTAGATGAAATAGCAGCCATAAAATTTCAAATGTAAGAAGTTGTTCCAAAGAGCGTTATCATCAAGAAATTTATCATAAAACTTACAGAAGCTTTGTCAAACGTGCTGAGCCCTACACCAATAGCAAAGATGGGCAGCCCCTGGAAAAGAGTTCATTGATGTAAGAACTCTTGAGAACTCAAGATATACTATTCCTATGAGAATCATTTCCCTGATACTTTTGTAGGACACAGACCCATATAAAATCAACTTTGATAAAAGAATTAGCACCTCTTTTGAGTAACCTGACATTCCTATGTGCTGTGAATCACGCACTGCCCTGTACAATTCGGTAGGAACTATTGGTTTCTGAAAAAGACAAACAGCAGCCACATCAGATATGTTTATACACTCAAATAATAATTTAAACTCCCAAAAAAAAAAAAAAAAAATGAATGCAAAACCAGAACATCATTACCAAGAAATGAAATTACAGTGATGTATATAAATATAACACTCTCAGCTAAAGAAAACCTTTTTTCACTTAATGAAAACAAGAATTTTAGCAGTAAACTACGAGTATCAGTAGAATAAAAATATATATCTCCAAATATCCTGAACATCAGGCCTTGTGAGTCATACATTTCAGAGACAATATCACAACATTTAGCCTATCCCAAGTCTCAATAGTGGAACACAACTCATAAAAGTAAGGTCCAACTTTTCCAGTTACAGAATTGCTTGTATGGTCATTAACGATCTCACATCAGATAATCAAAACTGACTTTTTAATATAAGTCAAAATTTAATTAATTGTACCCGCCCACAGCACTTATTAGTTATTATTCAATATTATAGGTAGATTGCAGACTTTGGCATACTGCATTTAGAATTCACAATAATATCGTTTTCAATTTCTTTTTAACAGTAATCTCCAGGTAACAATGTGCTTAAGAGTCAGTCCTACAGTTCCTATTTCAAATTATAAGACACAAACTGATAATTTTGTCTTTGGAATATCAATTATAAGGTTGATGCAACACCAGGGAATATCATAAACTTACCGATAATATTTTGTCAATCTCATTTGTTACCCTCCAGTTCAGACAATCCACCAACTGAAAGATCATATGCAATCAAAATTTATAAGAGACATTGATTAATACCGTTTGTTACAGTAAAGAATGACATGTTTTCACAATGTACTACAACTAACCATTTTATGTGCTTTGGAAACATTCCACTCTCTTGCTTTAAGGAAACGCACCAAAGTTTCAGTTAGATATCCTTGATGAACATTCTGCAAATCAAGAAATAATTGTTAATTCCATCATTGTATTCAAATTTCAGTTATCACATAATTATCCAATTTAAGATTCAACATCTTCTCTTAAAAATCACTCAGCTTTTATTGCATCAAAATGCATACAAGAAACAAATTACAGCACATGGAAACATGAAGTTTATATACATACTACTTAGCCACTTTATCCTCAAAGTTGCCAAAATATCTCATAACAGCTCAGTAATCTATCCAAGGTGGGCATTTTATCAATGAAAGAGATATTTTTCGTAACAACATTCCAATCCTTTTAGATCTTTAAAATAATCTTGGTGGTAAACATTTTTCATGAAAAGCAATCACAACTAGATTAACTTTAGGGATGAGAATCCAGAACAATGGTTATGGGGAAAAAGAAAAAGAAGGTTTCTTTATACCATTGGGTGAGGCTTTGCACTAGATTTTAGACATAGTGGCCAAGATCATTGAAGATTTTTCCAATCTGGTGTGAATTTGGCAGCAGCAAAAGGCCTATGTTCTGAAAGCTACCTCCGTAAATATTATACATCACCAGTTCCCTTCAAGCAGCTCCAAAGAACAAACACCGAGGGTTTAAGTGTAGATGGTCCTTCATCACAACACCTTAACAGTAGGACATAACTCAGCAGCAGACAAACTTACATAACCTCCTCAATGTGATTCCACTAAATGATAGGGGTATACCATGTGTTCTAAACAATGATTACACTGCCCAGCATGGGATGTTCAATGACCAAATACCGTATAAACCAAAAAAAGGGTCTGACCATCTCTGTGTAGAAGAAATTTTAGTAAAGGGGACAAGCATGCTCTAACATTGCATGAAGGCTTGTCATACAAAATAATTTCAGAAGTCTGCAATTGACTTAAAATGATAAAACACCTAATGATGAAACACCTACTGCCAATTTAGTTAATATGCAAATGGGAAAGCCAACGTGGTATGATGGTTAATTAAAAGTTGCCCCAGTCCTTAATAGCTTAACGAAGGGCTTTCTGATGTAGTAATTTCTTATAGCACAATTTAGGAAGACAAGTCAATCTGCATCATCTCACCAAAAGATCAGCTCATGTGGAAGAACTGCACAATAATACGAATTTACGTATTATGGTTCGAGTCTATAGTCAATCTTATCTATAGGAGAGGTTAACAATTAAATCCAACTTTTCCTATTAATCTCATAATCATAGTAGTGACAAAGGAAGGCCTGTGAAGTAGTTCAATAATAATGGCTCGGAGTTTCTCAACTCTTTGTCTTAGGATTAATCTCTTCTATTTCTTGGTGAGGGAGGGTAGGGATATAACTCATCAATAGAGTGCACCGTGACGTGGTGGAAGTTATCACTAAAGTTCAAGCAAGATTATCCCTAAAACCCAAATGAATTGTGAGTTTTTCTATCTTGACTTGGCCCCGCCATGTTTGAATAATAGTAGATAAGAGGCTTGAATGATAAGATATATTAAGACAGCATTCTTTTTTCTCTGAACCAATGTATCTATCAACAGATTTTCTCTCCTCATCCTGTTTATTACTGGTACATAAGTAACACAGAGTTTAATATGCTTCATACAGTTGCTGAACTTGAAAATTGAAATTGAAGCAGAAATCAGTCTTATACATCAAAAATTGTTTAAGAACACAAGAATCACTCCAACCATCCAGTGGCGTTAGATTTAATTTCACGTTTAAGAATAAGATCACAGCTACCAAGAAAAGAAGTGAAAAGATCACGCAGCCAGATTTCACACTCCCAGAAACAAAATTAGGTCCCATAAACTAGAACCCAGTTGCAAAGATCAAACATTTCATCTATTCTACGAATCACATGCTCCACTAGTTAAGAAACCACTTCTACAATTCACATTTTCCCTGAATATCATTTCCCAAAAAAGAAAATAAAAACNAATTTGCATTTTTAATCTCTAAAAGTGGCTAGGCTTTTGTTTGCCGCATATACTGATATTGATCATGTAACATTACAGGATTATTAAGGTACCGGTGGGATAATATTACCCCCTTCCTGCTCTTGGATTATATGGTCGAGTCGATCCTTGAACTAAATACGATCAAAGGGGGTAACATTACATGACCCTCTCCCCCAAATACTGTAGCAGTACCCTTTAATATCATTTTTATTATATATATAATAAAAATAAAAATTAATTTTTGTATTTAAAACTCTAAGAATGCGTCGACCCTTTAATATCATTTTCTGAAAAACAATCTCTGAAAAATATCGACCCTGTAATTTTTGTATTATTTGTAGCAAAAATAAGTTCAGAGAGAGAACTTTACACGTAGAACAAGTTCAGAAATGTTCTTATAAACCTACTAGTTTACCAGTCAACAATTTTTTGTTGTTGTTGTTTGAAATTCCATGTGGGAAAATAAGAGAGAGAGAGAGAGAGAGAAGATAAAAGAGGGAAAATAAAAACAGGAGTGAAGGAAGGCGGGTCTACTTATGATTACTGTTGATTCCCACCTAGAGAAAAAATGAAGCTTCATTCAGATTTCAATAAAAGACAGACAGCTCAAAGTTTAGTTTTTGTTTTTATTGTTTGCTGTGTTTCCACCTCAATGTTAAATGAAAGCAAAAACAGAACCTTCAGCTCAAAGTTTTTATTTTTTGTTTTTAATTTTTGTTGTAAGTTGTAACCGTGGTGGATAAAAAAGGAGGCCATGTCTGTGCAAAGAGAAAGAGATTACCCTTAATCATCAATTTCACACTGGATAAACCAGGTGACTCCTTTACTGTTTCTTGTTTTTATAAGTATTATGATGTGTTGTAGGGCAAAAAGGGTGTTTGGATCAAGTTGCCTATTGAGGTCGTCAATCTTGTGGAACCTGCGGTTAAGGACTTACAGGAATATTTGGTGATTGGGTGGAAGAGGATGGTGTCTTCATCTCACGGGAATATTTGGTGATTAGGTGGAAAAGGAGGGTGTTTTAATCTTACAGGAATATTTGGTGATTGGGTGGAAGCGGAGGGTGTTTTAATCTTACAGGAATATTTGGTGATTGGGTGGAAGAGGAGGGTGTCTTTTGTGTGACTTGTCTTTTGTGTAAGACCATTTAAGATTATATAACAGTTTTTCATGCAAAAGCAACGCCAACCTTACTGATCTCTAAACTATGGAACTACCACATGCACAAAAAATCAATCCTTAACTCATCAGATTGATTTGGACCCTCTACTTTACATGGTCCCATGTTCCTAGATCCACTTCCGTTTTTTTTTTTTTTCATTTAACAACCCTATACTTGCTTGAATGATTTTCAATATGGGATAGCATAGTCTTACCAGCAGCATCATTTGAACATATATAACAAGAAACAAGAATTGACTTTAACTTGATCCTGTCATTGTATTCGCATATTCCTCATAGATTTCGTATGCAATTCAACAGGGAATGACAGAAACTGCAAATATATTATATAGTATGTAGTTTAACATCATGGCTTAATTATTGTATATAATACATAAATAATGATGCCAACTCTATGCTATGATATAAATATACAAGACAAAGAGAGTCATGCCTACTGTGTAAAATGATATCCTGTCGTTTTCTATTGCAGAAGACTTTGAAAAGTAAATACTTTGGAGCTTTTGGCAATGTTCAAAACTACACATTAACTGCAAACGAAGAAACTTGGCGACTGCAGGCTAGCTTGCCATACCATCAACTCTTTTGATTCCAATATTTGAGATTTTTGTTTGTTTCTTCCGAAAATGTCTGTGACAGTCACAGAGAGTGAGGGGAGTTTGTTCTTAATGGATGTTCATGGTGGAGATCATCAAGATAGTGTATATGTTGCTGTCGGGAAGGGTGAATCCAGCATGTATGCGCTTTCATGGACATTACAGCACCTTGTGAATCCTTCAACCATCATCTATCTCATTCATGTTTTCCCAGAAATCAAACACGTTCCTTCTCCATGTAAGCTCTTTACATATTATTTCTTCTGCCATATTTTTCCTCTCCCTTTCTTAGTTTCTTTATCATGGTAGGTGACTAGCTTGGTTAGCTAGAAGAGACATAGTCAAAACTGACGTTTTGACAATCTGCAATACTTGGTTTGGTTTTGACAATCTGCAACATGTAACATGTTTTAGTTTGGGTACAAGAACAGCTTGGGTTACTATGAACATATAATCATGATTAACGCTTTAGGATAGGAAAAGGACAAAACTTAGATGCAATCTCAATTATTCAAACGCTTTTTAAAAATTGTCAAAACAAGTGTAAAGCATATGGGCTTTTCAACTTATCTTGGAACTTGGAATAGCATAAATCACGGGGAAAATTTGTTTAATTATTGTCATCAAAGGGTATAATTCACTATTCTGAACTATATACTAGTATATAGATTATAGATCAATGGTTTCGTGTTTCGCAATCCCAACAGTATGTGAATTGAATCTAGAATAGAAGTCTGATAAAATCTAGATGAATTGAACCAAATTATTGGTGGTTATAGTGGAATTTTCTAATCAGTCAAGCTTGTACACTTGAGCCTGACAGTCAAACAGTACAGCTGGTCTAACTTTGGTTAAAGCAGAAGCCTAATTGAGATTGTTCACTGGGGTATGTGAATATGAAAGAAATTACTGCCTGAAAGTGTTTTTGGTTATTGCCAGTGTAAGTGATACTATTGAGTCCTATGTTTTGGTGATGACAGTGGGAAGGTTACCAAAGAGCCAAGTGAATCCAGAGCAAGTGGAGACCTACATGGCTCAAGAAAGAGGCAAGAGGAGAGAACTTCTGCAGAAATTCTTTGATGCATGCCCTGCTTCTAAGGTACAATACTGGAAAGAATAATATGCTGATGCATACTAACATAAAATAAACTCTTATATTTGATGTTCACATGAAGAAACTTTACAATGAAACAGGTGAAGGTAGACACCATGCTTATTGAGAGTGAGAGTGATACCGTTGCAAAGGCTATTGTCGACTGGATTCCAATTCTCAACGTAAGGAAACTAGTAGTTGGAACCTCGAAATCTAGTCTATGGTATCATCTTTGCTCCGAGAAAGTCTTCAAAACAAACATATGAATGTTGTGATACACTGTTTAAAGTTACATTCAACATTCAAAGGATACTATCTTGTGATTCATTTTCTTCTTACTTATCCAATTCTTTTTTGATGGGGACTGACAGGAAATTGAAGTCCAGAAAAGGGAATGGAATAGCTGATCAGATACTGCAGAGTGCACCAGAGGCTTGTGAGATTAAGATAGTATGTGAAGGAAAGGAAGTTATTGATCAGATGATTAAATCACCCTCTCCACGTGGCAATGAAAACAGTCCCAAGGCCAAACAACAGGAGGATGAAAGCAACGATTCCTTCTCATGCATGTGCTTTAAGCCTAAGTTTATTTGATAAATATACCAGACAATATTTCAAAGCCATGTGACATGAATCTACATTCAATATATATACCAAATCTTCATGTTGGACTGGGAACTCTTTTTTCTCTCTTCCTGGGACAAAGAAATGCCACCAAGAGAAAAAGATAATGCCTCCTTGACCTTGTAAAAAAGTAGACCATACACTTTTCTCTAAACTTAGTATCTTGCAATTGCTGCCATTGTAATATTATAACTTACGAACACTGGCCGGTGTGTAGTTTAAGGCACCAAACCTTTGCAACCTCTTGTCATTTCAAAGATATATTCGACTTACAAAAGCAACTGTGACTTGTCTTTTGTGTAAGACCATTTGAGATTATATAACAGTTTTTCACGCAAAAGCAACACCAGCCTTACTGATCTCTAAACTATGGAACTACCACATGTAAAAAAAAAAAAAAAATCTAATTAATACAGAACTCATCAAGAAAAAGTTTCCATATCAAAACAAAAAACAACAAAAAATAAAATCATCGGTTGAAGTTGATCTTGGTCTATATTTCTGTAAATAACGTCCAGGAATCTGTATCTACATCCTATTTTTGACACAAGTAGCCTTAATTTTCTAATCCATATGCCAGTTCAAAGGCTTGTGCCCCTAAAAATGAAAAGAGTCTAAGCAAAAACAGAAAAGTACAGACGCGAAACCAGTTGCTAGGTGAAAAAAAAAAACAAACATACAAGTTTTCATTCTCTGTCAATAATAAAGACTTCTATCCTCATCACCAACAACCCTTTAGATGTTCAGAACAATCTTCTCCTTAAATAGAAACAATTTGCAAATTGCAATCAATACCAACTATCACTAAAAGAAATCAAACTCCGGATAATTATCAGAACCTTTCTGATTAGGTGCAACCACAGGAATGGCAGTCTTTTCACTTGCTGATGATGCTGGGGCTGGTATCCGCTCTAGCTCAACTGGCTTTGGAATGTCTGGGGGGGTAGCGCATCGTATTAGTGCCCAATTCACACCTTCGAAAAATGGATGTTGCTTAATTTCTGTTGCACCTCGCTTATATGCCAATCTATGCTGAGGTTCTTTTACAAGTAACCCCCTAATGAGATCCCTTGCTGCGAAACTAACAACAGGTGATTCTGGAAACCTAAGAGGCTGACCCACAACATTGAATAATGTGGCTCGGTTCCCTGATCCCTTGAAAGGAGTTTTACCAAACAAGAGTTCATACAGAAAGATTCCAAAAGTCCACCAATCAACAGCACTTCCATGACCTTCGCCCTTGATAATCTCGGGTGCTAAATACTCATGGGTCCCAACAAATGACATAGACCGGGCCTCAGTAGGCTCAGCAATCAGCTCAGGTAATGGGCTTACTTGGTTTCCAATTTCGTTTTTAGGTTTTCGGTCCTTCTTGGACTTGCTAGAAAAGAGACGAGGTGAGAAGCAGGTAGGAGTGACACAGGATGGCTGGATGCATGAAGGCTCAATGCAAGCAGGCTGGACACAATAAACAGGATTCTTTCGTAATGGCTCAGATTCAATGGATGCGGTTTTAATAAGTGTAGGACTAACTGCACAGCGAAGGGAAAGATCAAAATCGGAGAGCATTATATGTCCATCTTCCCTCACAAGGACATTTTCTGGCTTGAGGTCACGGTAGATGATACCAAGCATGTGAAGATATTCCAGAGCTAGCAAGACCTCAGCCACGTAAAACCTGGAAGTTTAAGTGAAAAAAGTAAAAATGAATACCATTAACATCATGCAAATGCAATAAGCCACAGAGATTAACATTTTTGGCACTTCAACTTTCTATAAATGATCATGAAAAGAACTACATGAAACTATATTTTCCCTACAGTCGATGGATTTCAGAAAATCATTCTTCAAACACAGCATGACACATTACTCAATTGCTGGACACTTAATCCTTTAAATAGGATATCAGCCTTCATATTACATCTCTCTCATCAGTTCATTATCTGCTGTCTCATCATTTTAACTCTGCTACTGTTTCATCCATCAGTCACTTTAACGCAATACAAGAGCTGCAAAATGCAAAAGCATTCTTTCTCCTATAACATAGGGGCAATCAAAAGATCCTAGAGATTACAAAACATTACTCTAATAGTTTTTAGAAGTTCCCCATGATGTTCTGGAATATTTGCATTAAAAAGAACTCGTCAATATTTGTGATAGAATAATCAGATAGATAAAAGTTTTAACCATTGCAGCAGACCCTTACAAGAAGATGACCAGGGGCATGTTTCTAAACTTCATGCATCATGAAACAGAGACCAGTTAGAAGGAAATTATGAAAAAAAAAAAAGCTAAGCATGATATAAAGGTTATTGGATCAAAATATTGATTAGCACTAAATTATGAGAACGAAATAATACATAAAAGTTTGGTTATCATACTTCACTGCCTGCTCAGGAAAATGTTTGCCTGGCTGCCTCTGCCGAAGAGTGTGCAAATCTCCTCCAGGGCAAAACTCCATTACCAAACATGAGAACTTATCTGTCTCAAAGTGAGTATAAAGCGATGGAAGAAATGGATGGTCCAGAGACTGCAATATCTCTCTCTCTGTCTGAGCCCGAAGAAGTTTCTTACGACCTGCTAAAGATGCTTTATCCATTACCTTCATTGCAAAATAACACTTAGTTCCACTCAACTCGGATAGATACACACTCCCAATATCCCCACAACCCAACCTTTTTAGAAGTCTAAAATGGCTCAAACCCAGAACTCCATCTCTAGCTCTGACCGCTTGGATGGCTTCCCATCTTACATCATTCGCTTTGTGGGGTTTATTGATACTGCTACTGAAGCTGCTACATGTGCTCTCATCACTTATATCACTGCTTGTGCTTCCTCTACATATACTGCTCTTGCCACTCTCAACGAAATCAAGACGATCACTAATCTTGGCACTCCCACTAGTTTTGGCGATACTGCTGGCCCCATCACTAACTTTGGCAGAAACCGAACTGTTCTTCACACTTCCATACTCAGATGTTTTCTTTTCTTGATCAGCGGAAGCATCTTGTGAGCCCCTAGTATTGCTCACAATAGAATCTACTACACTAGATTCTTGTTCAAGACCAAGTGATGCAGAACTGGACTTAAGTTTATTAATCAAAGAGTCAACAGACCCATTATGATTAGAATTTGGCAAAGTTTTATTTTCCGACGCTTCTACCACAACCTGCTTCGGAGTTCTATCTACCGGTTTAGGTAACTGTTTGGGGGAAATCAGCTCATGTTTGCTCGTCTTCGAACCATTTAGCGTCAGAGACATAAGATCATTTGCCTCAACTTTTTGAACTCCAGCTGTTTTCTGCTGTTCTTTTGAAGAAGCTTTGGCAACCGTTTTTGAGGCCATCAGAGTACACGGAAACTTTAGTTATGCATCAGATGAACAAATACATCAAGCACCCCTCCATGAAAAGCATTATATCATCAGTCAGAAGCCCGACAAAGTCTCACTTGACTCTGCAAACAGCAACAATTTATCTATTAAAGACATCAAAATAAGGTAAAACATGACCACAAAATGGCATGTCTTGTTGCACTCAGATATGAAAATAGAACTTCCTCATATGCCGAAAATGGAAATAGCAGTTCTCAATGCATATTAGAAACCTAATTAATTTTTTTTTTTACAAAGAAAAAGATTAAAACATTTACAGGTCCCATAAAAATCACCCCTCAGTTCAAACATGAACACACCATTAGTGAAAAAATGCTAATAGCTTTGCAAAAAAACAGGTCCAAGATGCAAACTTCGGTTATCAACTCCAATAAAAAAAACTCACACCAAATTACCAAATCAAATCATTTTCTCCCCAGAAAATAAGAAGATTCAATCACAAAACTTTTTTAATCATACAATATGAAATTGAGGAAAAAAAAAAAGGTATAATCAGCAGATAATATTATAAAACCAAATTCAACATGCAGCCAGCACAAAAATGAAAAAAATAAAATACAGTCAGACAGATAAAGAGAGCAAAAAAAAAAAAATTTATATATATATAATTCACGGATCACCAGAGAAAAATTATAAAATCAGTGAATTAAATAACCATGTCTAGTAATGCAGTTTCAAAACAAACCTCAACTACCTAATCTGGAAACTATAAATCATCAGAACCAACGGTTAGAACATGATCAAGGCTCGAAGGGACACAAAAACCAGATCTTGATCACAAAAATCACAGCTTTCTGAGCAGACCAAACACAGATCCAAAACAACAACGTAACCCAGATACAAAAAGCAAGATCACAAGGTAAAAGAGTGAGAACCCATCAAGAAAAACACAGGAAAACTAAAAAAAAAAAAAAGTACCTGACTTCAAGGATCAAAACTGCAAGAGCCTTGCTTTTCCAAATTTTTTTATTTTTTTTATTTATTTGCTTTTGCAGTGAAAAAGAGAGCTCTTTGATAGCTTAATTGTATTATACCAGATGTTAATGTTTGTATAAAGAGAGAGAGAGCGAGCGAGAGAGAGAGAGAGAGAGAGAGAGAGAGAGAAAAGAGAGTATAAAAATGAGGATTGTGTTGTGTCTGTGCTTGTGGTGGACTTATTAGGCAAACAGAGAGGAGAGATGTAGAGACCAGAGAGGTCAAAGCAAAGCTTAAAGCAAAAGTTGGGTATTATTATTATTAAATTTTTTTTTTTTTTTTAAATTCAAAATTTTCTGATTGGTTTTGGTGTCCCAGAACTGAACTAAGAGGGTTTGAGTCACCAAACCAAACCAAACTGGTCTCTGAGAGAGCTTCTGTTGTCTGTTGCTTGTCTGTCATAGCTCATCTCCTACACGAGTGTTAAAATAACCATACTACCCTTTATCTTTTACATTATATTTTTCTACACCCTGACTTATGAGTTACGTATGTCAACACTTCTTCCTTTTTTAGTTTTTTTCACTTTTCTTTTTTTTTTTTTTGGTGACTTTTATAATTTTTTTTATAAAAAGTCAACTTTTTTCATGTGAATTGTATGAAAATTGGAGGAAAATCTTTAATAAAATTCAAAGTTTTTTTTTAATCAAGATGTCCAGGTCAAACTACGCGTAGAAGAGACTATTATAGCAACCCACCACCAGGACCCCCCACTTAAATCACACATGCTCAGATACATAATCGAATATAAGACCATTTGTATATCTATACTATCCTCAATTTACTGTAATCATCTTGACTACCCACGGATGAGTATAAAGTTGAGGTCAAGAACAGAGTTCATTAAGTTTTATATTAGGAGATGATATTCGAGTTTTACGTTTGAGTTTGTTCATATTTGGATTGCAAAATTTTAAACCTAGTTGAAGAAAGAAGTGTATTGAGCTCTCTTACAATAGATGTACATACAACTAAACAGATTATGAAGTAAGTGTAATCTAATATTCAAGTTTTTACGGTAGATGTAGGTACAACTAAACAGATTACGAAGTAAGTGTAATGTGATATTCAAGTTTTTAGGGTTGAGTTTGTTGGTAAATGGGTTACAAAATGATATGGTGAGAGGGATGAAGAGTCTGGAATTATGATATGAGTGCAGTAGAAAAAGAATAATGGTGTCATAGGAGAATGAGAAACAAAGTCCCACAAATTGTGCCGACATTAGGATTGTTGATTTGCCTAAATGAGGTTATTACTTTGCTATAAGGTAGACAATAAAATGATGGGAAAGGACCAAATTGTTGGAGATATATTTAATGAAATCATATATATAAGGGAGAATGACATTTTCCCACCCAAAGTTTGGCAAAACGACACTTTCTCACCCGTCAAGTTTCAAAATGACACTTTCGCACCCTTCGTCAAGTTTTGTTAATATTTGATTGAAAAGACGAAAATACCCTTAAATAGTTTCTTTCTTATTAGTTTATTATAAATTAAAATTTAGTTAAGTCAAAGTTTTTACTCGATTATTTATTAGTTCAGGTGTAAAGATTTTTTTTTTTCCTTTGTTTATTTAATTAATTAAGAATATTGATTTTTTATGTTAATTGGTAAAAATGAAAAACATTATATTATGAAAAACATTATAAATTTAGTAGATTATTGAATAATAGTGATGAGATATAGATGACATTATAAATAAATAAATATTAATGTCATTTAACTTTAAACAATTTCATAACATTACTCCTAACTTTTTAGGTGAGGTTAACTATTTTTTCTTTTTTGACTTTTTGATTAATTAAAAAATAATAAAAAACCTATAAAGTCAAATATTTAAGGGTATTTTTATCTTATTAATAAAATATTAACGGAAAACATATCAGAACCTAACGAAGGGTGAGAAAGTGTCATTTTGAAACTTGAAGGGTGAGAAAGTTCGTTTCGCCAAACCTTGGGTGGGAAAATGTCATTCTCCCTATATATAAATATGAAGATATGAATGTGGTGGTCCATTTTATTGCATGGAGTTAGCTAGGATTATATAAATTAATCTTAATTTTTACTGTTTTTGTTGTGGGCAACATAAGTAGATGTGCATGCAAATGCAGGGCCCAAATTAAAATCTAAATGCATTCATTGATCATTCCATTCCATGGTATTATTATTTATGATGGGACAAGGCATTACATTTTGATCACTCAAATCTCAAACTTGTTTCTGTGACTAAAAATGAAATAATAATCTCCTTTGAAAGACAGAGTGGAAGGTGTTTGTATAAATTAATGTATGAGGTCCCAAGTGAGTATGAAATCTCATTAATTATACCAATACAAAGTTGGTATGAAATTCATTACTATTCAATTCAATATTATCAACCTTCAACAATTATTTAATTAATTATCTTTTATATGTCATCTTCTCTTAATCTAAACATTTCCACAAAATATACCCATATTTCTATCCATATTCATAATCCTATTCCCCAAATATTGTTTGAAACAAATTATTTGAGAAATATTACTATATTTTTTAATTACTTTTAGACCTCTTAAGTTTATTAATTTCATAAATACCCCTAGAAAAAAGTTTAAAAATTAATAAAAACACCCCTACCGACCCATACTTGCCAGATTCTGGCAACCACCGTCGGTGGTAGCTGGAATCTGTCATAATGGCCTACACCACGACCGAAACTAGCCTGTAATTCACCGATTTGGATGAAAAAGACCAAATCTGGCCGTCAGTGACGATCAAAGATGGACTTTTGCGGCCGTCGATGGCCACATCTGGCCATAGATCTGACCTTTTTTGACTAGATCCGTGGCGGATCTGGCCGTCAGTGACAATCAAAGATGGACTTTTGAGACCGTCGATGGCCACATCTGGCCATAGATTTGGCCTTTTCTGACTAGATCCGCCACGGATCTGGTCAGAAAAGGCCAAATCGACATCATACCAGTCAAATTCGACTGGTATGTGTCGTTACCAATTTTTCGGTTAGATTCCGACAGTGGTGGCTGGAATCTTGCATTATGGGTGGTGGGGGTGTTTTTGTCATTTTATAAAATTTTTATATATTTGGGTGTTTAGTTAAATTAGCAAACCTATGAGGTTTTTTTTTTTTTTATAAATTTTTAAAATTTACCTCGTAATACTCCCCTATTCAACTATACAATATTATTCACAAAATCCTATCCAAAATAATAAAACAAACGGACTCATATATATTTCTTGAAACAGCTTGTCCAAACTAGCTTATACACACCTCAACTAACTTGGCAATCACTTCTAGGTATACATCTTAACCACATATCCCAATACTCGTCTTATCATTTGAGTTATCGAAGGATGAGTACTCAAGATACATATCCCATCTACCCTTTTCTCAAAATCCACAACCACCCTTCTCTTCTTTCGCAAAAAAACTATCTGGGTTATATCTTTTTTTTTTTATATGTACAAAGATTACCCAACTAAAAATCTTGTTGACTCGATATTTGACCATACAAGTGTTGATAAAGAGCTTTTATAAATCTAACCATTCAACTAAGGCGTCATGGATTTGTGGGTTATACTTAAACTAAATAAATTGAGAATTAGAGTAACATTACATCACATAATTGTATATAAAATAAATAAATAAATTAGACAAGTCTCCATCAAGATGAAAAATATATGGATTAGTTGAGGGCAAGCAAGAAAGTTGGAAAATTAGATACCTAATTGGCAATGAATGGAAAGGACAAGGGATCAACTTTAATTGCCAAAAATTGGAAGTATTTTGTTGTCTTTGAACAAAGTTTGATGGTTAGATAGGAGTCACAATCTTTAGTGGTCGAACCCACATGGCTATTGAGAGAAGTGTTTATGACGTTGAAGTTAGTGTTTATGTTTTTTTTTTCTTCTTCTTCTTCTTCTTCTTCTTTTTAATAGCCAATGTGTTCGAGTCACCTTACGTATAAATCATCGAGTGAGACTAACGCATCAACATACCCACCGTCGCGACTCTCTACTTACATTGTAGATGCTTGACGAGGAATCAAACATGAGATCGTATACCTATCCACATTATTTTCAATTCACTTTAACTATCTAAACTATCCATAGATAGATAATTACACCGTTACCCGTTTAATAGAAAAAACAAATTCAATAGGGATGTAGTTATCTCATACATACACAATTCATAAACTAATAATGTTTTATGTCAACCATGTTAATTATTTTTTAAAATCAAAAGGAGATAGATTTTCTCACCCTATGGATAGAGGGTAATAATGTAAATTTAACTATATAATACATGGATGCCAAAGAGTTAAATATCTCAGCTTATAATATATAGTTTTCTAAAGTGAAGGGAACCATCAAATGCTACAATTTTAATTTACTTTTTAAATAAATAAATAAACCCATTTGCACTTCTTTTTAATTCTCACCTTCAAACTTTACTTTAATTTATTCACCCATGTTATTAAAAATTAGAAATAAATAAAAATAAATTCATCTATCCACAGTGCTCCAGGCATAGAGTTGCGAGCTGCAACACATGCAATTTTATATTTATTCATTTTATTTATAAAGTGGTCCCTCTGATCATACAGGTGGCAGTGTATGCACAAGATCATTACACGTGGCACGATGTGAGATGGGGTCCCATTGTGATTAATAAAGAGTTAAGACTAATTAATTGTTAATTTAAGTTAATTGGCATTGAAATGGAATATATTCTTAGATGCTCGCCGTTTGATGCGCTTCTGAGCACGCTATGCTAAGCAGTCAGCAACCGTCTTGTTGCTCTAAATTTTATTAAATTATTTCTCATGTATATAAAATTCTATAATTTATTAAATTGCTTCAACCAATTTTACGTGGACTAGCTTCAATATGGGGTTTGAACAACTTATTATAAGGCCACAAGACTTTGAACGTTGAAATGTATGTTAATTGACCTGATCAATCTATATAAAGGAATTGAAAAACTTTCATATAATGAAGAACGAGAATTCGACACTATTAATAGAGTGGAATAAACAAATCTCATGATTGATTGATTATGTATACAATTTATTGCTTAAAAGACTTGTAGACAATATATTGAAAATGAAATTAGAATAATAATCATAAATAAAAAAAAGTTTGTGAAAGGTATTTGATAGAGAAAAAACGGAATAGGT